AAGCACTATGGGCAGTCTATCTGAAGTGTACCTGGCGTATAAGACGACCCCCCACTTGGAGGCATATTTTTCAGGGCCAAAAAATCATCTTATACGCCGGCAAATACGGTACCCACATCCTAAATAACTTAAATAGATTATGATTGGTTTTTTGGGCTATAACAATCTTGAGTTTTTATAAATGCATAGTGGCAGATATTTGTCACTAAACTATCCTGTGGAACATTCCAACCCCCCACCCCATGATTTACCGTTTCTCTAGTTTTGCCTTTTCCAGAATGTCATATAAATGAGGTCTTACTTTGTGTGGCCTTTTCATACCTGATATCATTATATATGTAAGATTCATCCATGTCTTTCCATGGGTTTGTGGACATTAGAAACATCTAAACCTGTAGAGAATTTTTATGAGTTTACAGTTGCCAGGAAGCAAGGTCATTTATAAATTATTTATTTTACTTCAGTAAGTATGTCCAGTTCTTTGCAATTGAAAGAGTTGTAACTGACACATGAGTCAGTAATCCCTGAGACTTCCTCTGAAACAATGGGTGTGGCACTGCTGGGGGACATGAGGACACTGGGTGGTGTCAGATCTTCTGGGAGCTGCGAACAGCTCCTTCCCTATTTCTTTTCTGTCCTGGGAGAGGAAACCCAGAACAATAAGAGGAGAACCAGCAGGATGAAGAGATCCTGGATGACTAATTGGTCTGTATTTTCTTTATTTTAGGGTCCATTTTTTTAATCTTTAATTATACTAGATCACTCATTTCCTATGGGTTTCCATTCTGATGCAATAGGTTTCTCTTATTTTACTTTAATTTCTCCTTTTCTATTTTTCTGCAAAACATAATGAACAAATATTGATGGATTAGTTTTACTCACTAAAGTCTATATTTTATTCAGGTTCCTGCATTCAGGCTCAGTTTCATTGCAACACCTCTATCTGCTAAGCCCTCACTGACCATACAACCAGAGAGGTTAATGCTGACAGCTGGGGTACCCGTTGACTGAATTGGGGTGGTATGATATGAAATGAGACTAGGTAAGAAGCAGGCCTGATAAAGATTCTCAACACTGCTGATGAAAGAGACTTTATTCTGTAGCCTGGGTGGGGGATGGGAAGCCGTTGATAGTTCTATGCACAGGAAGTGACAGGATTAGATCCCTAATTTAGAAAGATCAAGCTGGTCACTGGAGGTTGAACTGGACGAGAGAGGGATGGGAAGCAGGGAGACCAGTGAGAAGACTGGTGAGAAGTGCAGCTGGCCTGAGCTGAGGTGGGGACCATGAGTTTGGAGAGGAACAGGGATGTAAAGACCAGAGATGAGCTGTGGTTAATATTGGGTTGTCGGAAAAGTCATGACGCATTTTTGCAATGAAAAACAGAAAAAATAAGTCATGACTTTTCCGACAGCCCAAAACTATCCTGAGGATAAAGCTGGCACAGATGCCGGAGTTAGTACTTAGGGGGAGTTTAGCTATTTCGACACCAATAGGAGAGCTCATTCTGCTGACTATTTGATAAATTCTTCATTTATCTGGCCCATAGAGGGTAGAGAAAAGACCAAGAAGGGAAGAGGGAGAGTGAGTGCTGATCACGTGTTGGGCAGGAGCTGACCTGCATCACCTCACTGACCCCTCACAGCCACCCTGAGAGGAAGTGGTTATTCCTATCTGACAGGCTAAGAGACTGAGTTTCCATTTCTTTGTCTGAAGTCACAGAGCTAGTAGGTGGAGGGGACAGATGTCAGCTCTGTGCCTGTCTGGGGCTCAGGCAATCTCCCATAAGGAAACTGTCACCCCAGACTCCATTCTGAGCAGCCAGGAAGCTCTTGTCCATTGTGACCTCAGAGAAAGGAAACATGAGCAGAAGCAGATCTGTGCTCTGGACTGAAGAACAGATTTTAAAAGGCCAGAGGACAGACAGGGCATCAAAGTGGGGGAGTCGTCAAAGGGATCTGGTGCTGGTTGTACTCCTGTGGAGGGCCAGGCCACCTGCTCCCTCCCCACCTGTCCTCATCCCCAGCTGCCTGCCCAAGTCCCACCCCAAAACCAGCCTGTGTGAGTGAATGACAAGCTGGACCATTAGGCTATGTGCAGATTTTCTTTAAATAGAATGACCAAGATACAAGCCAAAGCTGCAACTCTGTCCAGGATCCTATGTGTGCAAGCTCTACTGGCCCATCTTGGCCCATTTAGGCCTTGGTTCTGGATTCAGAACTGTTAGAATCAGTCTTCCATTTAAATCAGTCTTCCGTTTAAATACCTGTGAAATGGACATAATTGTCTCTGCCTTATCTGGAAAATGGGAGCAGTAGGTGAGATGAGGCATGTAAAGGGCCTAAAACAGGATTGCTCTCAAAGCTAGCTTAGTACCGAGAGTCTGGATTGTTAGTTTAATGCAGAGTTAGAAAACATCCTCTGCTGCCATCTAGTGTGCATTTTGGGAATAATATCTAAGAGGAGGTCACCTGGTAATGCTCTTTTCTGTTGTCCTCTGGTGTGCACATAACCAAGAAAAACTATTCTTTGCTGCCATCTAGTGGGTGTTATGAGGATAAAATCTGTGGAGAAGAGCAGAGAGTATTTTCTTCACTCATCAAGTGTGCATCTTAGTAATAACACCAGAGTGTAGGTCACTATAAAAAAATATCACATATAATGTACAATTTGGGAATAACACCTGAGTGCAAGCCATCAGGAACCTCTTCTCTGCTGTCATCTAGTGTGCATTTTGAAAATAACACCAGAGTGAAAGTCACCAAGAAACACTCTTCTCTACTGCCATCTAGTAAGTGACTTACAAATAACACCAGAAAGGAGGTCACCATGAAAGGTTATTCTCTGCTGTCATCTAGTGTGAATTTTGACTATAATATGTGAGTGCAGCTCACCAGGAAAAACTCTTTTCTGTTACCTAGTATGCATCATGGGAAAAACACCTGAGTGGCGGTCTCCAGAAAACCCTCTTCTTTGCTGCCATCTAGTGAGCATCTTGAGAATAACACCTGAGTGGAAGTCACCAAGAAAACCTCTTTGCTGAAATCTAGTATATTTCTTGGGAATACTATCAGAATTGACATAACCAGGAAAAGCTATTCTCTGCTGCTGTCTAGTGTGCATCTTGGGATAACATCAGATTGAAAGTTACCAAAAAACATTTGCTGATGCCACCTAGCGTGCATTTTGGAAATTACACTAGGGTGGAAGTCACCAGGAAAAGTTACTCTCTAATGATATCTAGTGGCCATCTGAAGAATAACAACAGAATGGAGGTCACCAGAGAAAGCTGTCCTCTCTGTAGCTGTGTAGTATGAATCTTGGAAATAATACCAGAGTGGAGAGCCCCAGGATACACTTTTCTTTGCTGCCATCAAGTGTAAATCTTGAGAAAAACACTTGAGTGGAAGTCACCAAGAAAAACATTCTCTGCTTCCATCTAGGGTATATCTTGAGAATAACACATGAGGTGGGTCACCAGGAAATGCACTTTTCTGCTATTATCTAGTGTTC